TGACGTCACTCATCATTGCACCTGGCCATGCGGCTGGAGTAGAGAGCGCTTGCTCGGCATTTTTCTACTCCTAGAACATTAATTACCTCTTTCCACTCAATAGGACGTCGCTAATGCGGCAGTTCCAGAGACGAAAAAAACATTCTGTTACTGATTGAAGGATTAGATTAATTTTCTTTCTCTGTTTTCCCTATGATGATTTCTTTTCCAGAAAACTCAACCCTAAACGCTACTATGACCTATGTTCAATTCTCAACTGAAGAAACGTCTCGATGTTCTGAAGGAATCTCCGCTGGTGTTGTAGTTTCAATTATAGAGGTACGTGGCGCTGTGCTTACATTACCAACAGAGATTATGATAGCAAGCTTATAAATAATATTACTTCCAAAAATAGTGTATTATCAGGGCATTATGCTGGTAGCCGTTGGTGTCAGTGCAGCTCTCCAGTACTATAGAAAAAAATGGTATCCTATCCATAGTGTGTTTGGAAGAGAGGGAGTGGAGGTAAGCTATTCCATCTAGCGTGTACGGCTCTGGAAGAGAAGCAGTGAATACTTCAGAACCTGGGAAATGACAACGAAGAGTGATTGGTCTCATGCATTGCCTACCTTGCTAGCGGGATGCTTCTTTTTCGGTTGGCGCAGTCCACTCAGTCAGTCTCCTTCAAAAAATTATGAAATATTCCAGTTCTCCTATTCATGATAAGGAAGATTATATAGATTAGCCTCATGATGTTCGCAAGCTCGAAACTTCGATTCTACCAATTTCAGTTGACAGCGCAAAGGAGGAACAACGAGGTTTTGCACGCTCAACAGAAAGCACTTGTACATGCTACAATTTCAGATTTCGGAGTTGTTTGAACGTTCTTTTCAGCTTTGTCCTGATCTTTACTCATCATTTTCATAGAAAGCCGTCGTAACAGTGTTGTATCTTCTTTTAGTTTTGGCAAAAAAACAGGTTGTTATAATCGTGCATGATGCATTACAACTAGTATTTAAGAGTTGTGTTGGCCAGTGTGTAATGAATCTAACAATTTCCACTTGCGCATCCCTACTATATATAATTCGCTAAGTGTGTTGGTTGGTCGGTGTGTTTGTGTGGGTGCATTTGTGTGTGTGCGTGTCGGTGTGTGTGTCTGACCGGAAATCCATAACTCCTGCCCCTGTGGACCTAGAAAGTTCAAATTTGGTAGGAGCACTTGGACAAGATGGGATTAATCAAAGCAGGTAGCAGGACCGACTCTGCCTATAGGGGGCGGGGTATGCGCGATGGACATTTTGGACGCCAACTCAAAGTTCCTAGTATCACACGTTTCGCATTAACAGCGGAACCTTTTATTAGGTAAAGTAGGACATGACGGGATCGTAGGTATTCGGTGACAGGAGCTGATCATAACTTATAAGAGAAGATAAGGGAACTAAGAGAGGCCAAATCATAACGTCTTTGGTATTTGCGATGTAGCTTTGACCGTTTCATTTGATAAGACAGGACGCTATAGTAGGGTGGCAAAAGTGAGCGGTCAGTGCAGTGATTGGGACCCATGGGCGGCAATACGATAAGCAGATGAAAATTTTATCCATCTCTCGCTCCGCTACCCAGCAATGTTTGTGATTCAACGAAGAGTCCTCTTTGCTCGATATCATTTGCGAAAATTCAATCGAACACCACTAATCTAGAGCTCTCTACCAGTGATTGCTGTCATCACTCAGAACATCTGAACAGCATCACCTTCGGCTGCCTAACAGTTGAACTTATGATGAGTATTTTTTTAGGAAAAGGAGCAGAAGATCGACACTCCCAATCAAAGGCGTAAGCACCGATTTCCACTGAATACCATTTGCACTGCCCTGTCAGTCCTGTGTTAAATTTCGTGTACAGGAACTATCATTTGTCTCAAAAAAGGGGTGGGGAGTCAGCCGATTACTACAAATTTGTCAAAGAAGGAGGGAAGTTCGGCGTTAGCCGAGCGAACCGATTTGTTATTTAATAATTCATTTGCTAAGCGGTTAAGAGATTTGAGGAGGTTGGATATTTGCTTGACAGAGATAGTTCAGGAATTTTCAGGTATGAACAACGTGGCCTTATCGAGAAAAACTTACCGAGAAAACATCCGTGTTTCTGAGGCCGTGCTGTAAAGTCCTGAAAATGAAAGTCCTCTTCAAATCATTTCTAAAATTTTCCAGGTCAATCAATTTTCGGAAATATGTTTACCAAAGAGGTCAACAACCTTCTATTATACTTTGAGTAAATCGCTGATGCCTTCTGTCCAGGAGTGAGGAAGCTGTGACTCAAAGAATTAGTTGACAGCCGTCTTCGGATCACATTAAGTTATGATTTTTTTCCACAACGGTATGCTCAAGAAGGCGGTGTGCATGGTAGGTAAAAGGGGCAACACTTAGGGAGTACGACTGATGAACAGCCTGGAACCAATCCGAAAGGTAGAACTTTTGACGCGTGTTTAAAGCGAAATTTTGAGGTGCGTTGACCCTCCGTAGGGACCTGATTTACGGTTTGATCGCCCTTCTCTAACCCCGCTGGCTAAATTAAGGGGATCATAGGGGCAAGTGATAGCTGTC